TTCTGGTGGAAAACCAAGGATTAGAAAACCTTGGTGGTCACCAGAATGTCAGAAGGCGGTTAACGAAAGAAAGAAGGCACTTCGCCTCTGGAAACGCCACTACAATGAAGTCAACCACCAAAACTACCTGAAGTTGAAATATGCTGCAAGAGAAACCATCCAGAAGGCACAAAGTGGGCACTGGATGACATTCTGTAATACATTGAATAAAAACATGCAAACGGGGGTCGTCTGGAGGAAGCTGAACGCCATGAAAGGGAAATGCAGATTATTCAACATACCAAACCTTGAAGATGGAGATCAGCACGTTACCAACGGCAAGGAAAAGGCATATCTACTTGCTAAAACATTTGCAGACGCAAGCAGAGATGAAAACCAATCACCAGAGTTTCTGAAGAGGAAGGAAATCTTTTACTCGCAGCACCCTTCATTAGTAATTGAATCTAATGAAGAGGCTGACCCAATCAACCTACCCTTCTCTGAGGAAGAGTTAAATAAGGCTCTTTCCCTCAAGATCGATAGTGCGGCTGGGGAGGACAAAGTAAAGTACTCAATGCTCAAACATCTGCCTAGAAACGCCATAACGACACTACTAAACTTCTTCAACACGTCCTGGCTGTCAGGAGAGGTACCTAAAGAATGGCGGAAAGCAAACGTCATCCCTCTACTGAAACCGGGGAAAGAGAGGACAAAGGCAGAGTCCTATCGACCAGTAAGCTTGACATCCACACTATGCAAAACCTTGGAGACAATGGTTAACACCCGATTACAGTCCTATCTGGAGAGTAACCGACTGATCGACAATCAAAGAGGGTTCAGGAAAGGACGATCAACAATGGACCACCTGGTGGGACTACAACAAGTTATGCCGCAGGCACTCTTCTCGGGGTGCCTGTTATGTTTGGATAGACGGGCTGCTTTTTAAGTTGGGAAGTATCGGTATAACAGGCATAATGTTTCGGTGGATCAAAAGCTTTAGAAGGATAGAGCGATAGAAGGATACAGGTGAATGTTGGCAAATTCCTGAGTGCCGTGCAAACATTAGAAAATTGCACGCCTCAGGGGTCGGTCATCAGTCCCACCCTCTTCAATATCATGATCAATGACATACAGAAATCATCCTACCTCGATGCCAGAACTGACGTAGCTAAATTTGCTGATTACAGTACCATATGGAGGAAAGGGAGGAGCTTTTGTGAACTGTAAAAGAACATGCAAAAGGCCTTAGACAAATTCATGACATGGGCAAACGTCTGGGGATTTAAAGTCTCAGAGAAGAAAACGGTCGGTATGCTTGTGAGCAGGGATAGTGGGATAAGCAGAATGACTCTGTGTATGAACGGGAAAACCATCGAGTTTAAAGACCAAACCAAGTTCCTTGGCGTAATCTTTGACCGAAGGCTGACCGCACATCGACTTGACTGTAGATAGATCCTCCAAAATCCTAAACTTAATGAGAAAAATAACGGGTAGCATGTGGGGTGCCTATAGAGTTACATTAATGTAGGGTGACCCACCATAAATAAATATCTCCAAATATCTCGACAATTACGCCACAATATTTATATATATACCAAGCCTCAAATCAGTTTCACACAATTATTGTCACTAAATAAACGATCATGTTGTACTTAATAAGCTATGACCATAAATCATCTATAAATAATAGACTGAAAACTGGTTCCAAGTGTCGTCCATAACATCCTGACACTTTTGAGTAAAAGATAGGTTACGTGCCCTTGTTTTGAAATTAGTCTCGCTTAACCAGTCTATCGACCATTCTACGTCTGATTGACAGGTCGGGATAATCAAGACTACTTTTTTTACGAAACATAACAGAAAGCTAGAACAAGAAATTGAATTTAGAAATAAGCACATTAGCTAGCTCAACAATTGTTTTAAAAAGCTTGTAAAAGTAAAATGAAACTACTGCTAGTATCATGTTCCTGTCTAACCCGAGTGTTTCAGAGATATTATTTGTACTAAACCAAAAGATGCCGCTCTTAACGGTACAGTTAATGATAAAGCGATTTAAAAAATGAAACGAACGTAATTTCTGAATCTGCTGTAATAACCAAGAAGCTTAATTTTACTGCTATTCAAAATCGTCAACAATAAATTTTTTACGGCTGTAAAAGTTGATAGATTTGTAGAGAATTGCACGTGCCATGGCTATTTATAGTATCATACTGTCAGAAAGTTGGTCTCGACACGGCGAATATGCACGCTTCAGTGGTAGTCTCGAACTATCAGCAGTGGACTGTATTTCTGTAGAGTGCATGGGTCACCCTAATTAATGATGGTGTATCGTGCTCTAATACGCTCTGTATTAGACTACGGTTCTTTGGCCTTCATGAACTGCGTGTCAAAACTCTTAAGTAAGCTTGACACCATCCAATACAAAGCTCTGTGTATTGCGACTGGCGTAGGGCTTGGGACTAGGAGAGAGGCATTACTACAGGAAGCCAGGGATTTGCCCCTATCCCTAAAAAGAAAAGAACTAGCGACAAGGTATTGGGCCAAGATCTCGCAACTGAGAGAAAGATCCCCTAGTTTTGTCAGTCTACAAAAGACAAGATATGTGAGAGATCCTAGAAAGAAAAGCTTTGGCCAGGGTATCAGGGAAACAATCAAGGAACTGCGACTGGGGGAGCTTGTGATAAATGAACACCACCACCCAGCAATCGGCCCTTGGACGCTCCCTATACCGCTGGTCAATCTAGATCTACTACAGAAAACCGACAAGAAAAACAACCACCCTGCTGCACGTGCTTTCTCTCTAGAACACCTGGAAGACAACTGGCCGTCTGATGACTGGGACCATGTGTACACGGATGGCTCACGCAACCCTGAAAGGGGCACAAGCTCGTTTGGAATATATCTGCCAAACGGGGAACAGGGAATAAGCAGGAAACTGCCCAATAACTGTTCGGTGTACACTGCAGAGCTTGTGGCCATTTGTGACGCTATATCATGGATCTCCCATCAAAAGACTAGTAAGTTCGTCATTCCAAGCGACTCTCTGAGCAGTCTGATTTCAATCCAAAATGACAACTCGGACTCAAGACCAGAAGTCATTTTGGAAATCAGGCAGCTGTACCAGAGGGTCCTAGAGAAGGGAAGCAAATTAGAGCTTGTGTGGATTCCATCACATGTCAACATTAGAAGAAACGAGGAGGGAGATCGACTCGCCAACGAAGGTCTCAAGGGCACAGCACCACTCCGCGCCATAGACTACAGCACCACGGAAATCTACAGTATGGTTAAAAGACAGGTCAATTCATTCTGGGAATTAAAACTCGTTGAACTTGACACATACAGATTCCGACTGGATGACAAAATCTACACGAAGACAGCGATCAATCACCCTAGAAGAGATATATGCAGACTTATATCGAAACTAAGGGTGAAAGAGCAGCTGCAAGACTACAAACACCAAGTCATCATCTGTGAGTGCGGAGACGAATGTACCACCAACCACATCCTGGTAGACTGCGAGGTATACAAGGAGGAGAGAAGGGAACTAGTGAGAATGATGGAGACTAACAACATGCCATTCAACACTAAGAACTTACTGTTCCCGAGACCAGATCTGAAACTGCAAATCTTCGAACAAATCCACGCCTTAATGGACACAGTTGGACTAAGTAGAATAGTGAAGTAAGAGGGGGCCACGCTTAGACGGGCTTGGCATCTAAACACTAAACTACATAGGGGATTTATATCAAACTGACAGGATAGTGGATAAGGGAGAGTCACGATCAGACGGACTCGGCATCTAAACACTATTCCGGCAAAAAATAGTCATCAATCCTACAGAGTGGGATAGGGGAGTAAGGGGAGGTCACGATAAGACTGGCCTGGCACCTAAACACAAATCCCATAAAGATGACATCTACCAAGCTAGCAGGATAGTGGAGTAAGGGGAGTTACGGTCAGACGGACTCAGGACCTAAACACTATTCCGCAAAAGAAACAGATACCAAACCCATAGAGGGGGATTGTGGAGTAAGGGGGGGTCACGATAAGACGGGCCTGGCACCTAAACACTAATCCCACAACTAAGACATCTACCAATCCAGAAGCAGAAGAAAACATCTACCAAACGATATGTTTTTTACTAAATAAAGGGAAGAACTTCCCACAAAACCCAATCCATGGCCTAAGGCCGAAAATGGAAAGATTGCAAAATCATATTCTAAAAACAGGAAGCAGCTTCGGCTCTCCTATTTATTGTCTGCGATATCACTTATGTGGAAGCAGACGTAAAACACCAGGATACTACTACTTGTATTACTGTATTAGCTTGTGTTATAGTTTATTGATGTTTTGAAAGTAAACTATATGCATACTTTCAGCGCTAAAAACCCTGTTCTAAACGATACCAAATTCCTAGTGTAGTGAGTCCACAACCTTGATATACCATATTTTACACTATTTGCATACAAGGGGCGGCCATTTTGTCCCGCAGTTTTGGTCAAACGTTTTTTTAAATCGGATAAAAATTGTGACCTCTAGGGGGACCACAAGCTAAAAACGCGATTTCTTTGTACAATCAGGGGCCATAACTCAGCAAGTTACAATACAATATGCGCAAATATCGAAAAGAAACAAGATATTTGGGTTATAAACATGCATATCAAATTTCATAAAAATCGGATCAAAATTGTGACCTCTAGAGTGTCTACAAGCTAAAAACTTGATATTTCGTACAATCAGGGGCCATAATCCATGAGGTTTTGGTCCGATACATGGGAATATCGAAAGGAACCAAGATCTTTGGGAAATAGACCTATATTTCAAGTTTCGTCAAAATCGGATAAAAATTGTGACCTGTAGAGTGTCCACAAACAAATTGTGGACGGACAGGGGCGACAAGATTATATGTCCACATGAAAATGTGGGCGTATAAAAAAGAAACTCATCAAATCACTGGAATAATAATGCCTACAGCTTGCAGTTGCAAGATTATATAATTTATACAGAGAAATAATTATTACCAGTTCCTTCTTCATCAAAACAAGCAAAGGCATTCTTAATGACATCTTCTGGATCTGTACCATTTAATTTCTCACCAAACATTGTTAAAAACATAGTAAAATTAATAGGACCTGGAGCAGCATTCATCATTTCATCCAAATATTGTTCTGTTGGATTTTTACCTGAAAAAATTCATGATTGTTGAATTCAATATGTTTTTAACTGATCACATTTCTGGAAGTCCATTTATGATTAATTGATTATAAATAGTATTCACTAGGGACCGGGTATCGTCCAGATTTTACGAAAAAAGGAAAGAAACTACGATTATCATCTAGAATTTAATGCACGTATCCAGCTGATAGATTGCCGTCAAGAATGTGTTTAATGCACGTATCCAGCTGATAGATTGCCGTCAAGATTCATCAAAAACCACCCAGTTTGTGCTACCGTGTAGATTAAGAAACGCCGTTTGCTTTTGACATCGATAGTCTGCTTTACGACCGTCCAGTTTCTCAGGATGTTTTTTAAAAATGAACACTACCATTTAGATTTGAAAAGGGTTTAGTTTTTAGACAAGGCCTTTATTTTCCCGGACGTTGTCAAGAAATGAACAGATTGTTTAATTACTTAAGGTGTTTAGATTTTACGCCAAATTACCACTTTATTGAGAGCCGTCTAGTAACTTACGGGTGAGTATTAATGTAATGCCGTTTACTTTTCATGTCTTGTAATTAGTTTGCCCAGTGTCATCTAGAAAACTTAAGGCATTTGTTTTTGTGTGAAATATTTAATTTCTGTCTCCCAATTTTAAAAACTATGTTCAGATTTAAAATCTGAGTATAGTGTCTAAAACTCTCGAATGAATTGCATATTTGTTGAATATCGTCCATTCTTCGGTATTGCCGACGTCCATTGGGAAAAGTCGATTTACAATGAATTGACAATTTTCCCGGCGTAGATAAAACTCAATTTTTTGGTATTTAGTTACAATCTTGTTACTTATAATCTTGTTTTCTGGGTTATTTACCCACTTCCGTAATTAATAACAAGAGAAAAATCGAAATTGCCCGTACATTCCCTTGTTTTTATTCATTCTATACTTAATAAAAACATGGTAATGCACTGACGTCCATTCTTCAGCATTGCCGACATCCATTGGGAAAATTCGATTTACAATGAATTGACAATTTTCCCGGCGTAGATAAAACTCAATTTTTTGGTATTTAGTTACAATCTTGTTACTTATAATCTTGTTTTCTGGGTTATTTACCCACTTCTGCAATTAATAACAACAAGAGAAAAATCGAAATTGCCTGTACATTCCCTTGTTTTTATTCATTCTATACTTAATAAAAACATGGTAATGCACCAGACCTGTCAACTCTACCACATCACGCGGTAAAGTGCCGCGAAAAGGCCTCATGTACCGCTCTACTGCGCGGTAATAGATTTCTACCGCATTTTCAAAAAAAGAGTTTTTTAATTTACTCGTCAAAACTATGGAACTAAGGGAAGCAACTCTCTGCATGTAAACAATAAAGATCACGACTTTCAGTTATCAACATCGATTTGGGACATTATAAGGTGTAATTTAGTTAAGAGATTTGTTCTCAAATTCTTTTCAATCTATTTTAGAGTTAATAAAGCGGATATAATTATTGGCATCTGTTCCAAATACGTAGCGATGGTAACGATAAACTAAACAAATAGCGACCAATTTACGGCAGCAATGGCTGACATTTTCGTTTGCGCGCGTACGTACAGAGCTTCTAATACAATACTTGGAATGCAACACAACCTGGAACTTTAATTTCAAGATGGAATACGTCTCGCCGATTCTGACTTACATGGAATGCTCTCTGGAATAAATGTAAAAGCAGATTTACGGAATCACAGGAGAAAAAATCACGGTACATTGAGAGGATAATCGCCATGGATGAGGGGCATGATTATTTATATCGATACCAATATTTCGTCGTTAGCCGTTATGCAAAACTAATTTTTTACGCCTGCCCCCCTCCTCTATTCCTAATGTAGAAATACTATAGAATCTAATAAGCACACCAATTATCTTACATGAAACAATATTGACAAAAACTAGCGGAATGGGGAATGGGGAACACGCGTCACAAACCATTGATATTTTTAAAATCATGCTAAGTTAAACCAAAAGAAAAGTGGTACTTCCAGTACAACTGAACTGGTAATTTTAATTATTTTTTTAAATTACAAATTATTTCTTTCTGTAGGCTACATATTCAATTTTGGTTTAATTTTTACATAAAATTTTTTAGATATGGTTACCATTGCTTGTGTATATTTTATCTATCTATTACCCATTGCATTTAATGCAATTTTTTTATTGTTGGGCCTGCAGTTCAGTTTTTCATTTCTAAATTAATTACCCTTGGAAGTGCGAATTTACGCGTTTTTGGAAATCTACTGCCAAATCGTGGTTTCTACTGCATTTTTTACACTACCCTACTGCATTTCAACTTTGAGGGGTTGACGGGTCTGTAATGCACTGACTTTTTCTCATGTTCTCTTATCTAGTGACAGTCAATATATTTTTTTCAATTGTCAGATATATGCTAGTCAAGTCGTCCACACAAAAAATCTGGTTAAGTCATCCACGTTGCATTGGTTGACTTGCTCACACGACTTTGTTTAATTTCAGGATGTAGAATAAGTCGTCCACACGACATTGTGTAAATGTTAGGGACGCAGAAATATTCATAGTCAGTATAATATGAGTGTTTGATATAAGTATAATTTTCTTTACGCCATGTGGCAGATTCGCCAATCTACAGCGCTCGCATTTAGAAATAACAAACAACAAAATAAATCACTTTATTCAATAACAGTTTCATTAATAAATAACGTCACTACACAGCAACTAAACGACTCACCTCTATAGTCCCGGTACAATTTTCTTCCCCAGTTCATATAATTCCTATTTTATAAATATTTTATCGAGAATAGTGTCCAACGTCTTCCTTTGCATACGCTTTAGCTTATTTTCCGAACACGCCAATTCTCGGCACCAATTTCACAAAAAGTACATCGCCTACAATCGAGCAATCCTCAATGCAAAACTTTCAACTTGTAATATAGTCCCTTTCCTGCAGGTTGGTTTCACTATAACAGAATTGCCCTGTGGCTGTGATATAACAGATCAAAGAATAAAACTGCACGTAGTCACTTTTTCGACACGTGTTATCTTCAGCTGGTCAGATTACCTGGCATCTCAAATAACCTAACGTTAAAAGAAGGCATGCAGTGTCCGCCTTACAACAGGTTCCATTCATTTATGATTTATTTTATAATTTATTACTCTATTCTAAATTGATTCTTATACAGATTTCTTATATTTAGTTCCATTTCGTGTGTGGAAATTAAATCAACGATTAGTTTTAAAATTAATTATGGTGCCGAAATAATATCAATCCAGTTGTATTTTGGTGAGTGATTAAGCTGTCAATATGTAATTGTAAAATACCTTTTATTTATTTATTTATTCTTCTTCTTCTTAGTTAGTTGTATTTTACGTCCGCTTCCACCAAGGTGATATCGCAGACAAACCTTTTATTTATCCATCTAATAATTTATATTCAGATTTCATGTCTAAACATTAAAATCATAATGCCAATTAACAAACAATACGAGTATACTTTATTAGAAAAACATCGGTGAAGTATTCTAAAAATCTAAAATCATAACAGCAATTAAATAACAATACCAATATACTTCACTACAAAAACATGTGTCTGGATTAGGGGATTAATTAAACAATAGATAGTGGCCATTCAAAGAATCTAACGACAGACATTTATGACTGTTGTATATTCCATGCGATGGTGGTGTAATTACACGTCTGTGAGCGATATGGCTTCAGACGGAACTGAGACAGGTGGCTAGAATTTGTTTATATAAGCAGACGATCATTCAAAGAATATAATCTAAATTGTAATGACGAGCATTTATAACTGTATATTCCAAGCGACGGCATAGGCTATGGTTTTTGATGGAACAGAGACAGCTAGGACGTGGCTGGAATTTGTCATTTATAAAACAATAGTAGTAGGTCATTCAAAGAATATAATCTGATATCGCCGATTAAATTTTGAACTTTTGTGTAAATATGTTTTTATATTTTGTGTTTGTAAACAAGACGCGGATTATGTTTTAGACTTGAATGTGAGGTATCCCGATTTTAGTGTGCAAACTGATAAGTGTTTTGTGTGCAATATATGTGTATATAGTTTGTAGAGGAACTTTCCATGTATTTGGATATTAAATATTATAATGACCCTGCTTGTTTTGCTTTTGTTTTTTGATTAGAAATACTCGATTTTATTGTGACAAGACTAATTATAAATTAGATACGCTTTGCGGTTCTTGCCCGTTTCAATGGGGGAACACCGTACCTACAATTGTTAACAATTCCCCTCCTTCGGTATTTTTTCAACATTCCCAAGGGGTGGGGATACAAAAATAAATGTTGGTGAAAATAGTCCCGCAAAGACGCCTAGATAAATGACGAAAATGATGTTTCATTTGTGGCTGAAACGAGAACTGCACACATTAATATGTAAATTCACAAATACATTTGTTATTAATTGCGGAAGCAGGTAAATAACCCAGAAAGCAAGATTATAAGTAACAACATATACGTCCATTGTTTTGTTAATTTCTAATAAATAAAATGCAAGTTTTATCTACGCCGGGAAAATTGTCAATTCATTGTAAATCGACTTTTCCTAACGGACGTCAGCAATACCGAAGAATAGACGATGTTCAACAAATATGCAGTTCATTTGAGAATTTTAGAACATAGTTTCTAATATTGGGAGATAGAAATTAAATATTTCACACAAAAACAAACGCCTTAAGTTTTCTAGATGACACTGGGCAAATTAATTACAAGACATGAAAAGTAAACGGCATTGCATTACTACTCACCCGTAAGTTACTAGACTGCTCTCAGTAAAGTGGTAATTTGGCTAAAATCTAAACGCCATAAGTAATTAAACACTGTGTTCATTTCTTGACAACGTCAGGGAAAATAAAGGCCTTGTCTAAAAACTAAACCCCTTTCAAATCTAAATGGAGTGTTCATTTCTAAAAAACATCTCGAGAAACTGGACAGTGGTAAAGCAGACGATCGATGTCAAAAGTA